GCTAAGTATCATTTTTATTTTTTAAAAAGTTTTATTTTATTTCTTTATGCATGTAAGAACTGGGGTATAGGTCAGAGGTACAGCGGGGGGAGCCCAGACACAGAAGGGGGAGAACAGGGGAATCTACTGAAATATACTGTTATAAGGAACAGTGAATGAGATAGGAGAGATCTGCTGAGACATGTGAGTCATCTCTCTGTGCAGGATTGAACTCATGCCACAGTGACCTGCTATGACTTGATGGTGCTGAGATTTAACCCCTGTGCCACCAGGGAGGTCCTTAGTAGCCCTTAATAGCATTTTTTTTTTTAAGATTTATTTATTTATGCATACAGAACTGGGGTACAGGCCAGAGGCTCAGGGGCGGTGAGAGGCTTCACCAGAGACAGAGTGGGGAACAGAACAGGCAGATTGACGAAGTACACTGCTGAAGGGAGCAGCGGGCGGGTCAGGAGAGGTCTGCCACGCCATGTGGTCTCCTCCGGGGCAGGCGGGAATCGAACTCATGCGGAAGCGGCTTTAGATTCTCAGTGCTGTGCTTTAACCCGCTGCGCCACCAGGGAGGGCCTTAATAGCATTTTTTAAAACAATTTCTCAGCTTTCTATTTCAGAAGAAACTAATTTTTAGTGTGTTTAGCTCTTATTTTCATTCTCTGCATTGAATATCCTTTGTGAAAGGTGAAGTTTAGAAATTTTAGTAAACATGGGAAAGTAAGTTTTAAAACTCAATATTTAAAAAAGTATTTTATGGGTAGTCTCCACATAGTTAAATACAATTAAATTAAAATTGTATTTAAGGCCCTCCCTGGTGATGCAGCAGGTTAAAGCACAGCACTGAGAAGCTAAAGCCATTTCCACATGAGTTCTCCTGCCCACCCTGGAGGAGACCACATGGCATGGCAGACCTCTCCTCACCCGCCCGCTGCTCCCCTCAGCAGTGTACTTCATTGATCTGCCTGTTCTGTTCCCCACTCTGTCTCTGGTGAAGTCTCTTGTCGCCCCTGCACCTCTGGCCTGTACCCCAGTTCTGTATGCATAAATAAATAAATCTTTTTTAAAAAAAAAAATTGTATTTGAAAGTCATGTTTTATTTAAAGGAGAGCTGATAGTGTTCATCTTTTACTTTCTTCACTTTGTACCTTAGCCAAAAAGAAAGAGTTCTTTGCGAGGATATTTGAATAAAAATATATAAAAGACCTTAAGTTGTTGCTTAGCTTTAAGTCTTTATTAAATAAGTGTATTAAGAATGGGAGTTTGAAGGTAGAATAGGAGCTTGAAGGTAGAAAGGGCTTTGGTGAGTACTTCAGCCTGTAAGTTGACTGCTTATACACAGTGGTGAATGACAAACTATTGGAAGTCATTTTTATTTAACTTTGTTACTTGTTTAATGTGTTAATGTAGTCTACCAGCCCTTCTGCCGAGTATAAAAACATGATTTGATTTTATTTTTTAAAAGATATTTATTTATACATATAGCACCTGGGGTACAGGCCAGAGGTGCAGGGGTGGTGAGAGGATTCACCAGAGACAGAGTGGGGAACAGAACAGGCAGATATACTAAAATACACTGCCCAGGGGAGTAGTGGGTGGGTCAGGGGAGGTCTCCTGTGCCATATAGGTCACCTCCCTGACTAGGGAGCGAACTTACACCAGGAAGGGCTCCATGATTTGATTTTAAAGGTAATATATTCTTAAATAGTTTGAGAAAGGCATATACTTCAAATGCTTTTTTTTTTCCAGTAATATAAGGAGCATAAATTTCAAGTTGTTCATTGTTAACATTCAACATCGAAAACAACTACATTCCCATTAATAGATTATTGAAAAAAGATGTCTTTTTCCATTCACTCATCTATTAATGGGCATGTGGTTGTTTCCAGCTCTTGGCTATTGTAAATATCCTGAATAAACATGAGAGTACATCTATCTCTTCAAATTGTTGTCTTTCTATTTTTCTGGTAAGTACCCCTTTCTATTTTTCTGGCATATGGAAATTTCTATTTTTAATTCTTTGAGGACTCTGTAAGCTATTTTTCATATTAGCTGCACCAGTTTACTTTCTCAGCAACACTTATTTTTTGTCTTTTAGATAATTGCCATTCTCACAGGTTTGTGATGATACCACGTTGTTGTTTTATTCTGTATTTCCCTATGATATAGGGGTGACGAACATCTTAAAATGCGTGTTGGCCACCTATATGTCTTTGGAAAATTCTGTTTAGAACCTGTCCATTTTCAAAGACTCATTTATTTTTGCATACAGAACTGGGGTATAGGCCAGAGGCTCAGGGGCAGCGAGAAGCTTCACCAGAGACAGAGTGGGGAGCAG